TTTCTGTGATACTCCAGGGCATATGATCTCCCTAAACTACGCTGATCTTAATCTCAGGCACCAAATTTATAGGCTGAAGGTTGTTAAGGACTACATCTAGTGCAAGTAGCTCAGTGCACAGCTGCATTGTAAGCTGCAGGTTGTGCCCTGGGTAGGAGGAAATGGTCCCCAACGAAGGGCATGGGGACCTGCTGTGCTGGCTGGATGGTGGCCAGTCACCCAGAGACTCTGCAAAACCCACTGAACAGTGAGAAGACCCCAGAACAAAGATCACCATTGGAACACGCACACAGACTTGAAAGCCCAGGGATTCCTTTGTTCAGGATCTCAGCTTGGAGGCACCCAGCCTGATCTGTCATTATGTTGCTGCACCTTGATAAAATTACTTAAAGGAACCAGAAGTCTGGGACTCTGCTGTGGGAAACCTTGGGTCAAGCCAGTAAGAGGAACTTGTCTGACAATGTGAGTGTGGGTGGAGAGTCAAGAAAGTCATCCACTGGCTCGCTGGAGCTGCCTGTGGCAAAGGGGCTTAAGTCCCAGCAGTGAAAGCCTGGGATGGTGCAAGTGTGACTGCCAGAGTGGCTCCTGGATGGTCATACAGGAAAGCTTCCTTAATATGCTGTGATATGGCTGATCTTTCATCACAATATTTAACTCTCATTCTGATTTTTTTTGGTACAAAATTTGTCTAAGAGACAAGCCAGTATCTGCTCATCTAGTTCAAGGAGCTAGCAGATTCAGCTACCAGCTAAAGGTTTATAGTTTCATTTCTTACTGACAAGTAAATCATTCCTCAGAGTAACATAAATAAATAAATTTGGTTATTTGTCCAAGTTGGGGAATGCTAGGAAAAAAAGTTGTGAATAATTCAGTAATTTTCCTATTTACAAAATATTTATTTATAAAAAGTTTGTGCAATTTGCAACATACTCTTTTATGTCTCATCCCTACTGTGATCAGGGAATAGGAAAAAATGAATAGCTGAAAGTTCAAGGTTTTCCCTGCAATTAAAAAAGCCCCAGAATCCAAGAAAGTAGAACTGCATTTTCAGAAAGAGGAAGTACAGAAATCAAATACAAGGTCTTTTCTGGTTTGCTTTTAACTTTCATGAGTGATCTAATCATGTTGGTGTAAGGAGTTGTAAAATTCAAGTTTACATACATACAAATTTAGTCTTAAATTTGCATGTCAGAAAGGAAAAAAAATAGATATATCTGAACCACTACCATCTTTGCAAGGCAACACCTGTTACTTCAAATTAAGTATGTCAATACAGGAAAGATGCAGGATTAGCAAAAGTACTGAAAGAATATTATTTCAGCTTGCCTTGTCGTGCTTTATTAATAGTCAATGCTATAAAAATATTTAAATTAATTTAAAAATCCTTTTAAAAGTAATTTTACAGCACTAAAGTGAGACTGAAAAGTACCATGGCTACTTTATCTTTAGCTGTAAGAAGAGCTATATATATTGTGCTCTGCTGTCACTTCCATAACACTCAAGAGGATGTCAGCGATATTTCGATCTGCATGACTGGTAGGTCATCCACAGCAAGGTCTCAGCTCTTTGCTGTCAGCTGACAGTAAACTAGTTTTGTTTATCTTCTGCAGGTGGGCCCGACTTTTAAGTAAGTATATGGTAGAACAAAAAGAAAATTTTGAACTTCCAGCAACTGTAGTGAATATAACTGATGCTTTTCACCTTAAATTCTGTTTCAGAGTGAATGCAGTAACAGGTTGAAAAATAAACACTATTCTTCCCCAGAAAAGACTGGAAGCACTAAGTAAGCATATTTTAATCATCTAGGACCTTTCAAATGGCAACATACGAAGTCAGACAGTATCTGATATGCAAATTTTCTGAAGAAGTTCTATGCGAGTACCAATAGATGCTTTTACCTCACACTGTAAATATGAGCTACTTGCAGTAAGAGAATACAGAACTAGACAGACTTCTTTTTCCTTATATATGAAAAAATTATGAGTTTCTCTGTAACACTGCCACTGAAGATCCACAGATCTAATAAAATACAATCTGAAGAAGAAAGTTGGTGTGAAAAAGAAACCTGCTTAGTATTCCACAAATGGAGCATATAAGTTGTAGGTTTATTTTAAACGGATAACATTTTGGAATTTTGAAAAATAAAAAAAATCTTATCACTGTAGAATATAAAGCAAGAATGTTTGCATGTATGTTTTATTATAATTCTTTGATCAGACTAATGCTGTCATTTACAACTGTAATTCACTCTGAAATTGTTTTTATTATAAAAATATTCTGAGTGTAAATCAAGGATTTCACATGCAATACTTGCAACTTTGATATTACAGAAGTAAAAATCAAAAATCATGATTATTGAACACATACTAAAACACAGCCACAGGGAGGACAGAAAACATGATGAAAAACTACTTTTGCTTAGCTTTCAGTAGTAAAAGGGTTAGCAATTATTCATGTACTGCAAAAACACTTTAGCACATGATACTCTACAAGCAAATATTTTTAGTGTATTAAACACTGTCCAACAGTTCACTGTAATGCCACTGCCATTGACACCTGTACATAAAACAACTGCCTGGTGAAATGAGAACACTGCAAAAAAATGCCCTCCAAAAGACACAACACCCATGTAATCGGGGCATATATTTTCAGAGGTAGTATACAGTATCTGCATCTTTTTTAAGCATAGTAATACTGCTGAACTGAATTTTATGAAAATGTAATGCAACAAACAAATTTCAAAGATTATTTTATTTTAATTATAATGTCAACATTTATGACAAATATTTGGAGAAATTAAATTTCATGTCTTAATAATTTAAACTTACTTTTAGTAATATTTTCCATTTGATGTAAAACCAGTCCTTACAAAAAAGTAAGAGGTTTTCATCCCTTTAGCACTTTACTACTTTCTAAATTTTTAATTAAATGATATGTTTCACAAGTAAAATTGTCATGGCAGCACACTAAGACCAAGGATAACTGTAAATCTGAGGGCATTTTAGTACTCTTTTACCAGTCTTAATCTTATTTCTCCTTCTGCCTCTCCGATCACTCCAGTCTAACCCCTGTATTTAGAGATTAATATTCTCCCAATGTAACCTGGCATGTCCTGTGGGAAATCCTTTACTTCTCCTGTTTGTCTGTAAAAGCAGTCTGAAAACAGAGTTTGCTGGGGACAACATACATCTAATAAAATAAGTGGCTCTCCATAGAAATTATGAACACTTCAGAAATCATTATACATACAGGTGACATGTCAGTAGCATCCAACAAAATTTGGAAATGTATTTATCTTTTAAATATCTTATCCAAATTGTGAAGAGAACTATTGTTTTTTACTAAATCAAGTGATTAAACTGAAAAAGAAGATAAGCCTTCAGAATCACATACCTTTTTCTGATCTGGAATAAAAGCAAACATCTTAAAAAATAAATACAAGTTAAGGAAAAGTATTCTACCTTTCAATCAATCAATCAGTAAGTTACACTGAACCTTTCCTTTTATTTTCCCACTGAAAAAGAAAGGAAGATTTCTTCCATTTGTGGAGGCAGCACCAAGTCAATGACAGACAAAAAATAGTGAATCATTTGCACAGAAGAACATCACTGTCTCGTGGCTTCAATACTTCATATTCGACTAAGCTTTTGCTGCTTAAAAAGTCTGAAAACCTTTGCCAAATCTGTTCATTAACCTCTGCACATTATACAATGGATACACAGAATAAATTTTAAAAAGGCACGGAATCTTTTGTTTACACAGGTCATCAGTGTAACCAACTCTCGGCACCAGCTCACTGCCAGGCCACAGTGGTAGTTCTCATGTGGCAATATGCTACTTCTGTACCCTTCATTAAGAACAGAAATTACTGAAAAACAATAATTTATCCAGGGTGACACTGTTTGCTGACATTCTGGAGCACCAGAATCTCTCTCCAGGGAGATCTCTCTCCAGGGACAGGGAGAAGTCATTACAGACAGACATATGCATATAGATATAGCTGTGAAAACTCAATATTGCATTTCATAAATATAAAATAAATATAAAACAAAACCGTGACATACTTTTCCTTTCATTTCTACTACTGCAGGAAGCAAACTGCCAAGCTGTAATCATTGGTAGCGTTCATAATGGAATCTAATGCAAATTTCAGGTATAACTGATTATCTCCTGAAGAAAACATGGTGTTAAAAATTAAAGTGGATTGTCTGAATTTTCTGACTAGGAACTCAATACCTCTTCTGAAAAAGTTCACAGAATGATCCTTTATGCTACCAGCCTATTTCCATGCTCAGTAAGTCAGGGAATTTTTTTGTTTGTATTTGTTGATTTTTTTAATCAAGACACTTCAAAAGAGCCACAGTACTCAATATGAAAAAAGATGAGTGCAGATTATCTTCTCTGTTTGCTCTGTTTATTATGCAAGCCAGGGTTACCGATTATCCGAATAGTGATTTTAATGATATTTTATGACTAATAATTTAGGCTCATTTTGGTGTGCTGTTTGGTTTTTCGGGAAGGGGATGGGTTGGGTTTTTTGGGGGGAGAGAGGGGGAGTGGGGTGAGGCAAGTATGTTTAAGTTTGATAATTATTAGTGGTTATGGTTAGAAACAATCACAAATGCTCTGTTTAAATCTTTTCAATCATCTACCTCAAATTACCTGTGCAGTTAACTGGATTCACCTAACTTTTCAACCAAAAGAGGCAAAAAAACCAAAGTTAGTCTCTCTGAATGTAACTTCTGTCCCACTACCTCACTGAGTTCAATTCAGGGGTAAGATTTTTAACACCTAAAGACTTAAAAAGTTTCCTAATCTGGAGTTAAGCTTAAAGGTCTGTTTTATTAATATTAAACACTTCAGCATTTAAGTTAAAAACTAGACTATTCATAGTTATAAATGCACAGAAAATAGTGAGATTGAGGAATTAAAAAAAATGTAATCAAGGACACAAAGTTAGATTTTTTTTTTTTTAAGTTGAAAAACAGTTCTCAACTGACCTCTTTGTCCGGTGTTACAGTGCCTTCATCATTCTGATCTGTAAATGAAGATGTCCTACTTCTGTTGCCCGTTGGTGGAGGTGATTTGGAAAGGACCTACACAGAGATCAGGTATGTCAACAAGTAATACCCTAAAGTCCAGAACTAATTATTCTGTATCAAATTTACTTCAGCAATTACTAACTATAACATCTCAGTAAAGCCTAGTCTAGAACTATTTAAAGAAAAAAACTGTAAATGACAAGTTCTACCTCTGTCTCCAGAGGAGAATGTGCCACGAATCAGCCACAAGAACATGCAACAACATAGGTTATTTTGATTATTTCTGACTATGGCTCTCTTAGACGACATTTAAAACACAAGCAACATAGTACAGTTACTTAAGAATTAAAAGTTTTGCGATTTGACAGGGATTCAAGCATTTACAAGTGTAATACTGTCTGATTACTTTTTAACAAGAAAAAATGACAAAAGAAGAAAAAACTACATTTATAAAATTGAATCTAAACAATGAAAAAGGGCAGCAGAAAATGCCACATTTTATTATGTCAATATGTACTTGTTGTTCCTATCAGCACTGAACATCTATTCACAGAAATTTTACCATTTCATGTAGAGTGCTGTTCCAACAAGTCACACCAACCTAAGCCAAATGTAGCTTGCCAGCCTCCTAATTCAAATTTCAAATATAAAATTTTCAGTATAAATGTAAAGAGCATTAAAGTACCAACAAGCATATGCAAAAAAAGTAACTAGCAAGATCTCTCATTAGGTATATTCTACACCATAACCAGAATGAACAAAAAAAACCACCAAACCAAAACACCACAAATATTTTAACAACTTTTTGCAGCACCATTGCTGAGGTTGCATACATAAATTCTGCTTTGCAAAATGCTTGCCTCATGAGACAGAGTTAGATGTTCAAAAACATGATTGACCACTGAAACGATATAACCAAAATACGCAGTTTTTCAGATAGTTACACATGCTTTATAGCCTAAATCTATAGGTACATTTTTGTAAAATGTGGATACTAGTGAATTAATGCCAATATAATACAAATTTATTCCTTTCACACCAGAACTATTCATACTTGTTGTAAAACAATGACGATCTATTCATGCCAACAGCCTACTCTCTTGTTATTGCTACCCCCAACCTAATGCCAGGGTTTTAAAGATTATTTCTGGCCCTCATAATACAGAAGGAAATTGATTTCCAAATGCTCATGAACACTTTGTCACTGTTTAGAAGCAGCATCAACACATATCTTCACCCTGCCCTTAACAGTTCTGCAGTTTTCACTGCTGCATTCAGACTTCTTGTCAATTTACAGTCATTTCAGTGGCACTAAGCTTCGCAGAAAAAATATGCATTCATCTCATGTAAGGAACAGAAAGATTAAGTAACTGAAAATGGCTAGATCAGAAGAGATGAAACAGGATAGCATAGTTAAGTAAGAAGGGACCAACTGCCTAACCACTTCAAGGCTGACCAAAGTTAAAGCAAGGCTTTAAGGGCACTATCCAAATGCCTCTTCAACACTGACAGGCACGGGACATCGAACACCTCTCCAGGAAACCTACTCCGGGTTTTGACCACCTTCTGAGTAAAGAAGTGTATCCTCATGTCAAGTCCAAATCTCCCCTGACAGACACAATTTCTCCACTTCCCCTCCTCAGGAAGCTGTAGGAAGCAATGAGGTCACCCCTCAGCCTCCTCCTCTCCAAACCAGACAAACCCAGTACCCTCAGCCTCTCCTCAGAGCCCATTCCTGCCAGCCCCTTCCCCAGCTCTAGTGCCCTTCTCGGGACATGTTCAAGTACCTTCACACCCTTTTTAAATGATGGGGCCCAGAACTGCACACGCTACTCAAGGTGAGACTGCACCAGCACTAAGTACAGGGGGACAACCACCTCTCTTGGCTGGCTGGTGATGCTGTGTTTGATGCACCCCAGGATGTGGTTTGTCCCCTTGGCTGTCAGGGCACACACTGCTGACTCCTGTTGAGCCTCCTGCCAACCAGCACTCCCAGGGACTCCTCTGCAGGGCTGCTCTCCTGCCACTCCTCTCCCAGTTTAGCCTCACGTCCAGCATTATTCCATCCCAGGTATGGAACCTGGCATTTATTCTTGTTCAGTTTCATGTCGTTGGTGATTTCCCAATGCTATCCAGATCCCTTTGCAAGGCTTCATGTCCCATGGGAGAGTCAGTAGCACCTCCCAGTTGAGTATCATCACCAAACTTACTACCTGTGCATTCAACTGCATCCTCCAGATCACTGATAAAAAGACTGAACAGAACTGGCTGTAGAATTGAGCCCTGAGGAACAGCAGCAGTAACTGGTCACCTGACAGATACTTCCCTGTTCACTACAACTCTTTGAGCCCTGCCCTTCAGCCAATTCTTCACCCAGTGCACTGTGTAGCAGCTCATTGCACTGTTGGACAGCTTATCCAGAAGGATGCTGGGAAGAACAGTATCAAAAGCCTTTCTAAAACCCAGAGAAACTACATCTACCATCATCCATTCATCTACCAGGCAGGTGACCACACTGCAGAAGATTATTAAATCAGTTAAACAGGACTTTCCCTTTGTGAACCCATATTAATTGTGTCTGATGATTGCACTGTTCTTTAAATGTCTTTCAACAGCATCCAGTATGATCTTCTCCATAATTTTTCCAGGTCCTGAGGTTAGGTCTGTAGTTTCCTGGGTTTTCCTTTATGCCCTTCTTGTAACCTGGAATAATGTTGGCTAGCTCCCAGTCAGCAGGGACCTCCCCAGGTTCCCAAAATGATTGAGAGGGGTCCTACAATAACATCTGCTAGCTCCTTAGCACTCTGGATGAATCCCATCCGACACCATGAACGTATAAACATTCAACTGACACAACTGGTCCCTTACAATTTCAGTGTTCACAAATGGAAAGTCAATGTTCCCGCAGTCATGGTCCTGACTCGGGGGCCAGGCAGCTAAGGTCTGTCAGTATGAAAAAAAAAAAGGCAAAAAAAGCATTGACTGTCTCATTTTTTTCTTCATCCCTCTTTTTCAGATAATAATCTTCAACAAGTATCAGTCCAAGACACCTGTAATTGCAATAGCATTTTTTTCTGCCAGCAATTAGAAACAGATGTGTTCCTCAGCCTGTGAGGGGCAGAGTACAGCTATTCTCAATCTGACAGATGACATCAGTTAACCAACCATTCATTTGAAAGAAGGACTACAAACACCTCTTCAGAAAAAGTGTCACACTTGAGAAATTTTACATCCAGATTTAAACAGTCTTAGGTTAGTGAATTTAGTCTTAAGACACTGCAAGCCAAAGTACAAATGTCAAGTTCTACGTCACAAAGCAAGAGACATGAATAGAGCAGAGAGGGCATGGTGAGTGAAACCTCTCTACAACAGAGTATAGGAAGAAAAGAGCAAAAATTAATGCAAACACAAGTTTCACAAAACTAAGAAATTAAAAGTGTTAGGAAAATTTGGTTTGAAAATGTTTCAACAGAAAGTAATCCATTTTAAAGATCTGAATTACTAAAAGCAAAGTAACAAAACCATATCTCACACTTTCTGCAAGACTCGGGTACATTACAGGGCTCAAAACCTTCTCGTTCCTTCCTTGTTTACAGAATCTGTTTTCAAATAACACATGAAGACTAACCTATTTTACTTCTAAGATTAAATTCAACTATAATTTCCCCCTAGTGTTACTTGAAGGCAACTGAAGAATAAGAAATACTGCAAGAAACTATTTTACGCAAATATAAAACAACAGATGTAATTTTATGCTTCTGCCTTTCCATTCATGTCAACCCTTAAATGATGTGATCTGCTCTGTCCACAGTACAGCAGATTAGCTCTATAGACTAGGTTAAAGCTCTTGTATCAGGTTTCAGGAAATTTGACAACATTAATTACAACAGCCAGATAAAGACTGCAATATACTACGCTGTTGGGTGCACACGTGAGATAGACAACAGGTTAGCAAAGGCATATAGTGCCTTCAGAAAGCTTCATAAAAGAGTGTGGCAAAATAAACACTTGAAGAAAAGTACAAAGATCAGTGTTTACAGAGCCATAGTGCTGTCTACTCTCTTGTATGGTTCCAAATCATGGATCATCTACCGCCACCACCTGCGACTCCTAGAACGCTTCCATCAACGCTGCCTCCATACAATCCTAAACATCCACTGGTCAGATTATGTGACCAATACATCTGTTCTAGAACAAGCAGCAGTCACAAGTATAGAGGAGCCCCGAAGAGAAGATACAAGGACTCCCTGAAACAACATCTCGGCCTTGGCCATATTGATCAACATAACTGGTCTACTCTGGCCTCCAATTGGGAGGTCTGGAGACACATGATCTTTAACGCTGCTGATGCTTTTGAGAAAGCACGCAGGATCACTCTTAAGGAGAAAAGACAATGCAGAAAGATTCGTGCCTTGCAGAATATACCACCTAAGGAGTCTTTCTACTGTGCCTTTTGCAACCGGACGTGTCTATCTCGTATTGGCCTTTTTAGCCACCAACACACTTGTAACAAACGTGGGTAGAGCCCTTCCCAAATCTTCATTCGCGAAGCCATGAGTTGAGGGTGCACATGTACCCTTAGGCCCAAATTTATTCACTAGGGCAATTTTCAGCAAGTACCAACCCTTGAACATATGCACGGAGTATTCTGAACTAAGTGGATTACAATACTGTGTGCAAGGTATCATAATTCAACTGCAGTTTATTGAAAACAGTAAACTCTGCAGCTGCACTGTACTGAAAGTTGACCACACATGCCAGTTCAGGACAGCACTCTAAACTGCAACTAACAAAAACATACTTAATTTCACTAACTAGAGAAGACACAGTGAAAGACTTTAAGACTGAAAAACTACATAAAACTTTATAGTAAACCCATTTTCAAAAATATTACCTCTATTTGACAAATGAGTGATTTAAGAAATATAACACAGCTGAATGTCAGGAGCTTTGAAACCATGTTTCAATACTGAGACTATGCAGTGTCAGATCTCCCAGCAGTTCAAATTACACTCAATCAAGCCAAGAAAACTGATCACCCATTTGTCAAATTAACAAAATTACCTGCCTATAGCTTAACATTTACAGGATACAGAGTTTAATAATCAGTTTTACTCTTTCAGATTCCAAGATGCAAAGGATACTTAAAACCCAGCGATGACACACAGGCAGACACTATAAACATGGAGTTTGCCAATACAAAGACAACTTGTTGAAGCCCTTCTACCCAAAATTTGATAAGAGAGAATTTATTCTGTTTCAATGCACATATGAAATCATCACAACATTTTTCTGGCCACTATCACTTATAGAGATACTCTGCACTCATGTCATATCTAATGTGCATTATTATAAATTAAAAACGGTAGTTTCTAGAATCCAACAGTTAATTTCCTGAAAGTACATGTAACAAAAACAGCCGATTAAATTATGATTAAAACAAATAAATAAATGCCTTGATCTCAGATTTATACTACATTCTCAGTTCTTCCACAGTGAAAACAAAAAGCAAACATAAGGTTGAGGTAAGCAAACCAGCCCTGTAAAGGACGGAAACAGAAAGAATTTACAGAACTGAAAGAATAAACACTGAGAGAGAAGGATGACTGGAGACGTCAATGTTGGATTATTATTCAGTGCACATAAAATGTTATTACTTTAAATAGTAAAGACGAATCCCCTTTCCGTTCAAACAAGAGATGGTTTTTACATTCCTCCACAAGACCGTCCTTGTAGAGTGGCCAAACCACGGTCTCAGAAGCATCTAGAGAGGCTTCTAGGGCAGGAAGCAGATCAGTAACAACCAACTTGGATGTCACAGTTCCAGCGAAGCGCTGAGAGCAAACCGGGGCGCGACGCCCGCCGGCCGACCGAGCCCGCAGCCCTAGGCCGGCTGGGCCTGCGCGGTGCGGCATGACCCGACCCTTCCGCTGTCCGACCGGCCCATGGGATACCAAGATCTCCCCGGGCGAGGCGCGGCCCTGCCCCGGTGGGTGAGAGGCCGCCACAAGCCCCAACACGGCCCGGTGGCCCCGGCCCCGCCCCGCCGTACCTGCGGCGGGAGGGAGCCCGTGCGTCCCCCCGCCCCGCGCGGCGGCGTCTGCTCCTCGCTGATCTTCTGCTTCAGCTTCTTGAACATGATGGCGGGACGGAGAAGAGGACTAGGCTTCCCGGCCAGCCGATGGGGCAGCGAGGGGCGCCCGGGGGACGACGGGACCGAGTTCCACCTGCCCCTGCCCGCGGAGCCGCCGCCGCCGCCCCGCACTCGGTCCCCGCTCCCCGGGGCAGGGCAACGTCGCGGCAGCTGCGCCTGCGCGGCCAACGTGGAGCCGAGCGCCCTGGCCGGCACGGTGCGCGGCGAGGTACAAACTTCCCAGCGCAATGCCCGGGGCCACCCCTCCCCCAAGCCCGCACTCCAGCTGCGACCGCGGCGAAGCAGCGCCGCCTCGCCTCTCTCCCAGCGGGCGCGGGAGGCGGTACCGTCCAGGGAACGGAGCTGGCAGAAAGGAGTCACCGCTTCCGTCAAGAGGGAAAACGGAGCGGTAACAACCGCCCGCAGCGGCCTCGCGGCACCTCTGCGCCGCCGTACCGTGTGACCCCGTACCTCCGCCCCGCCAGAACGCTGACGGTCTTAAAGCCCTCGCGTGACCGAGTCCTTCTAAGCCGGTACTGACAGTGTCGCGGACAAGCTTTCACAAGCCCGAGAACCGAGCACCTTGTTGTTACCTTGTTGCCCGATTCTTCGGCTTGTGAAAGCTTCCGACTAAATGCTCAACAGTTGCTTTTTTGAAACTGCCTGAAAGCCTATCTGCTAATAAGAAAGTCGTGCTGTTTTCGTTCAGTCCACCTTAAAACCTTTTGAATGCTCTTCTGTTTGTAAATCTGAGATATACTGTTTACAACTAAAGTACCATTGAGGGTGGAAAGGCAGGGTTTGCCACAGTTGTTTTTGCTACTGTCCCCATGAAAGTAGGGCGGAAATGTTCTTGGCTGCTTTAGGTTAAAGCCTCTGGCTTTAGAGCCCTTGTTGGATGACATTTGTGCATGTGTGTTCAGTCCTATCCATACAGATGCAGAGGGCTGTCAGCAGTAGCCAGCATTCATTCTCCAATAATGGGGCTGTTTTGAAACACTGTATTGACAGTGACTCTGTATGAAGGTTAAGAAATACATGGTACTGTTTGCAAGAAATGATGAACCACGCTGGTCTTCTGTATACCGCCCTACTCAGGAGGCTGCATGCAGTAATCACTAACGCCCAGAAATGTTTTCACTGAAATACGCTCCTGAAATCTGTAAGTAGTTTGAAAAAAAAGGTGCATAGGAAACGGATCATTTGCTGTTACACTGACTAAAAAAATAACCAAGATACATCTACAGCAAACATAAACTGCTGTTTTTCCTAATTTTTTTTTTTTGCAACATGTTCAAAAAAATAATTTTCAGCAGACTGTTTAGTTATAGATAAACTGCAAGTGGTAGTGATCCTTTCTGTGCTTTTGAGTTGGTACAAACCAGCAATATTTTGTGATATGTGGCTATGTATCTAGTAGTGCTCCAATAATACAAAGTGGTATCCCACATTAAGTAGTACTATCCAAATTCTGAAGACATATGTGATAATTCTGCAAAACCCTATCATAAGCCTTACAAAAGGGCTTTAAATATTTTAGCATCTGGGCAAGTTTGATTAAAATATATTGCAATATACAAAGCATTTGCTCTAAACCCCACAGAAGTCCTGTGGTAAATGTCTGGAACTATTCTTCCATACACACACAGAGTGTCAAAATCCCATAGTTAACTGAATAAGTACCTTATTTCTAGAGGGCCGATCTGACCTTAGTAGATTTCTTTGTAAAATTAAAAGTAGTTGTTGAAAGTGAAGATTTGCCCTTCATCTTCCTTAAGTACACCAGTTAACATAGACTAAACAAGAAAAATATGATATTATGGTGTTGTGAAAGATAAATGTATATCTGCAAACAGCACTGGTTATGGTCTGTTCCAAATTAAATCTATAGCAGTTAAGCTACTTCCGTGGGAAAGGGAATAGAGTGTAAATGTAAAAGACTATGTTTTCACAGCAGTCTAGACTTCTCTCTAAGTGTCAGCAATGCTGGCCCACACATTCCTGCCATCCCATTCCTTGCCTTTTGCTAGCTCCAGTGCTTGTCAGACTGTTCCCTTAGTCATTTCTCTGTGTTCAGTCAGCAGAAAACTAACCTGACAAAAAAACAAGCAATTTCTGCTGACTTACTGTGCAGAGTCCCCGGAGAACTAGAGGTGCCACAAGGGAGACAGAGGCACTCAGGAGCGGGACAGTTTTATGTTGCCATTTATTTCAGAGTGCTCGGGAACATACAGTCTTTGGTGAGCAATTTGCTTAACTATAAACTCAACTATAATACGACTAAGCGCTATTTGAAGTTCAGCTAACAAGCAACTCTGTTAGTGGGAGTATTGATATTATCTCAACCAGTGACTTAGTTGCTACTGATGGCTGAAGTATTCATACATACGGCCTTCAGCCAATCTAAGCTAATTTTTAAAATGCTGTCTTTAAGTTATTGCAGCTTTCTGGAAGTCATAAAAAAGCTATGGGTATGAATTATGAATATGTCTTTCAATACTCTTTTCCACACATTCAAAATCAATTACTTTGTCAAAGATGTATGAATTTGCTAGCAGCTAGTTCTTTCAATCCAGTCATCCAACACAAATATGAAAAGACACAGAACGATGTAACATAATATATGTAACATTTCTGATAAATTTTTAATGTTGGTTCATATTTTTGAAAAGGAGGTTTTTCATGTTTGATTTTTTCTTTATTTCATCATCCTGCTGTTAAAACAACGTTGAATATTCCTATTATTCTGCCTGGATAATATTTGACATTGAGGGGGTTACTTTAAAAAGAAATTAACAAGAACTGGTAATAGAGTAAAAAAACCTAAGCAGAAGGGAGCACTGATCATGTATTAGAAGTTATTGTCCAGAACTTATGTACACACCACTGTTCTTTACAGACAGTTTATGGAATGTTGCATTTGGTAATATTTGCAGTTTCTACTCCTACTCATAAAATGCAAAATACTATTGTTGATGTTAAAGCGGTCAGGGAGTGTACCATGCATAGATGCACAGATAAACAGTTTCAGTTTGGAAGTATTTTGATCACAAACATTACAAAAGACAGCAGTTTATCTGACAATGCAGTGAAAATTATGGTAATTCATTGTACCTGCAGCCCACAGAATGAGAAGAAATCGTTGTGCAAAATCCTTTATAGTGCTGTGATTAGAACCCTAAAAGCTTTAGTATAAATAGATAATCAGAGCATTTTTCTAGCCTGATCTGATTGCTATTTTTACTTTTTTATTTAAATGTTGTGAATTACAACCACCACCAGATGACAGTGTTGTTGGAGATTATAACTATGCCTTTGCAGAGTCACTGTCAGTATTACAAATGCAAAACTATACCAACAGTGGGATAAAAGTTTAAAAACATTCGGGTCAGGGAACTGACTAAACCCAAAGCTTCTATGTCTGCTGTATGATCCTTTTGTGTACAAAGTATAAGCTGCTCTAAGTAATTGCTGGGTATCAAATATTAAATTTCTTTACCATGTGCCTGACTTCATATCAAACAGTCTATGCTATTTATTTGTGCATTCATATATTCATCTGTAGTGCCCAGATCTCAGTTAAGGTAAAACGGAGGAAAAAGGTTCATTAACAGGCATTTGAATAAAGATGGTGAGTGACATGAGGGAAAAGTCAGATATGTGAGTGTGTTCAGAATGCACAAGGCTATGAAAAGAGCAAGAGCACTGTCTGAAAAAACTGAAAGGTAACCTAAAAGCCACAATTGTTTACACTGGGAAGCCAAGAGGAATTAACTCGCTTCAGAGAGAAGAAAAGCTGACAGGCACTGCTCCTCTGCACCTTGGGAGGGAACACAATCTCTCTGCTCTAGCAGGAAAATTGTTCAGAGATCACATTTCATGCCATATACCTCTCTTTCCAAAAGTACAAAGTGCAAGCTTGGCCACTGAAGAAAGACTACTAAGAACCACTGCAGTAAACTGGCTCACTAGAGACATCTTTTTTTGAATGGGAATATTTAAAAGTGAGTGACCAGATTTGATCCTTCAAGAGTCTGACTTTCCTAAAACAAAGATTTTAATTTTATCAATACCTTGTTAAGTGGTGTTTCTCTTTTGCTTTGTCTAGAGTGTCAAAACCTTTCTCCTAACTTCTATTTTACTTAAATGTACCTTAAAAACTCTGAATGCCAAGAAAACAGAGCCAACAGTGCTATAAAATGACAATTGTTTTTATCAACAGTGATGCTAGTCATGAGTTTGATTTTAAATTAGCCAGCAGCAGATGCTCACTTGAGTACTTTTATTCTTATTTCTGTAAACACAGTGTAAATAAATAAAAAGAAAATCAAATCTATATGGGTAGGGACCTTGTATCTAAGAAGAGACAATAACTTGCTCCTGAAGACAGATTCCTCATGAGAGAGGAATGGCTTGATTGAGGAGACCTGGAATCTATTCCCAGATCTCCCAGTGCCCTTGTCACCCACAGTGGGCAAGCTATTTTGCATCTCAGTGCTTCTATTGATATTTTAATGAATAGTGATCCTACCCAATTTCCTGCAAACACATCTTTAGTTTTTCTCTTATCTTGCCCAGCTGGTGATAGAAAGGTCAAAGAAATGACTGCATGTTTAGGTGCTTTTTAAGAATACTGAGATACACATTCATAAAACACAACTGGGACTGCTGGGATTTTTCTGAGTCTGTGTTAATATTTGCCCCTTAAAGACTATCATTAAGAAACAGCAGATGATTTTACTTAATAATTTCTAGTCAGCAGGGCTAAAAATACATGCAAAGATATTGAGACAGTGAGTTGGGAAGACCTAAAAACCGCCTAATATGTGTGATTCCTTTAGCTAAAATGCAGAACATCTAAAACCACATCACTGGAGATGCTGTACCCAGCAGAATTCACAGCTGAGAGAAGTCACTAAGTCATAGCATAACAGATTCTTAAAGAAATGTACTTAATAACATTTGCAAGAGTCAAGGTAAGGAGCTATTTCAAGGAGAATCAGGAAGTATTTTTTCCCAATTACAATACTGTATAATTTGCTAGGTCATTAAGGAAAATATTCACTTTCCTTCTGAGGCCATCAGATTTATGAAACTGATGGATGCAGAATACAGAAAACAGCAATTTAGGAATAATTAAACTAATTCCCTGCATCACAGTTCCTAGAATATACAAAATAAAGCAAATACATATTTTTCTTCTGTGATTGCACACAGCCATTATGTATAAAAGCACAAAGACAACAGTTTTATGTAGCTAGATTTATCAATTAGTGCTTGAATTCAAGACAGATCTATAAGAACACTCAAGCAGTTTCAGATTAGGAACTTGTCAGCATTTAAGATAATATCCTAATACTGCTATATTGTTGTTTGAGTATTAGCATACTCAATTCCCTACTACTCATACTTTTCAATTAAATGTTTTGGAGGGAAATGTTTCTCATCCTTCTTAACTCCCCTTTCTAGCTCCTAGGATTTACTACAAGCTTTGCCACCCACTGAGTAGGGTGGAGTATCTGGTTGAAGAGAC